TTGACCTGCTTGTTCGCTGCTGACTGTCCGTGAGATTGACCGCTGGGAGGCTCGTGTGACCTTTGTCTCCTTTGCGGCTGTCGGAATTGTTGGCAAGTCAGCGCGCTTACTGGCCTGTCCATCGTCCACCGACGGACTTATCACTTGTTGATACCCCCATGAGTGTATATCAACCTCATGTGCGCGGTAGCGGTGAGATAGCGTTCCACGCTGGTCACATAGTCTCTGGCCGACCCCTCTCCTATCTTCCTCTGATCTCAGTTGTACTCCATGCTTGTGTCTGCTTCACCGTCCTGTTGGCCTTCTTCGAACTGACTCGAGCCGTTTGCGTACCCCCTGGTAGGCAGGATGAAGGTCTTTGGTTCTGATAAGTGTGCCAGTCGAAGACCAACTGTCTAGCAACAGTCTAGCCATCTTGTAATTGACTCGGCCTATTATACTTGCATGGCCAAAGGCGAAGGTGTGGTTCTTCTGCTGTACGTGTTCATAGACCATAAACAGCTTATCCTTGCGCTTGATTGCGAGATGATACTCATGCAACCTGGTACCAAGGCGTTTTCCCGTTTCACCGACATACCTTGCATTGCAGTCTTGACATGGTATGCTGTAGACCACGGCTGACTGTTCTGTCGACGGTAGCTGATCTTTGGGCCCCATAATCTGCTGTCTGATGGTTGATTCCGGCTCGTGAGCCACACCGATCCCGAATGGCTTCAGGAGTCTGGATATTCTTCCGGATATTCTTTGTGTCAAGTAACAGTCAGAAGAACTCGTGTGGTTCTACAGAAATAAACAGTAAGATTGACAGTGCAGGATAGGTAGAAAAATGCGATGTAGAAAACAAAGGGAGGGTGAACGTACATTCGAGGTGCTTGGACGAGCAGTCATGAATGACGCAGACGCGTTGCTGTCAATTGATAAGGGAATATGCGCACGGGACAGGAGTAAACAACAAGGGAGCGAATAAGGACACGGTGCGGGGAACAGAGACCGTTGGGCGGACGTGAACAGAGGCAATTCTGTGCCGGAAAGGGGGAGTGAGGTCAGCAGTGGTGACAGCTCTAATCGAACCAGAGGGGGAGGGGGCAATAGCAATAAGCATTTGAAACAGTTGTCTTAAAGGGCAAGAGAGCTTAACGGGGAGTGGGGACAGTATTCAAGT